CCGGTCCATTATTTGGAGGGTCTTCCTTTCTTTTCTCCAAAGTATTGGCCATCAGCCTTGCTGGTTTAAAATGGCTCCCTTTGAATAGAGAGAAAATCAAGAAATTTTCTTTTGTCTACTCATCCTCGAGCATTAGGACTTGGGGGTTGTCGTTTGGTGGGTCCTCAGGTCCTTGAAAGGCTTACTAATGTCATTGTGTTGAGAGCGTATTTATCAAGCAATTCCTTGGTAAGGTGTTCCACATTATAATAACAGGTATCCATGTTGTGAGCATGGTTGTGGTGCCAGGTGCACCAATTTGACCTATCCTGCACCTCGCAGCATGGCTGGACTGGATCCAATAACGTGGCAAGCTTGGCTTTCAGGATCTTGTTAAGGATTGTAGTGAGAGGTTCTTTAAGAGAAGGTAGCTTTACCTCGGTGAAAGTTCTCTATGTGTTATTGTTATTATTATTGTTTCTACCAGTTTCCCTAAATTGATCGTTTTGAGTTTGAGAATAGTTTTGCCTACCGGGTCTCTGTTGTTCCCATTGTTATTATTTCCCTTGAGCTTATTCTAGGGAACAGTTATAGATTGTTTTTCTGGTTTGGCACTAGCCATTGCCACCTTTGCTTTCTCATAAAGAGCAACTCTCTCCAACATGGACTCAAAGGAATAAGGCCTGGCGGTATGGCTCAGAAAGAGTGCAGTTGACAACTTTCACTGCAGCATCGCAAAACCTAATGGCGAAGTTCGTGAATGACTCACTGGGTTTCTTCTGAGTACTGGTGCACTAGCCATGGGTCACTAGCCTAGGTCTGGCCCCGTGATATTGTATAACAAATCATTGGAACGATTATTTGACGGTTTGGTTCGAAAAAATATTCATAACCTAACGATACCATGTTTTTGGTTTGACAAATATGATGTATTGAATCATCACCTTAATTCCACGAGGCTAGTCCTCAAGGGAAGGGATAGTCAACAAATAGGCGGTTACGTTGCTTTGGGCTTACTAAACTTGTTCTTGAACTCGAGGAAAATGAACCTAAGTGGGAGACATTCGACATCTCTTAGAGTGCCCTTAACATAGGATTTTCGAGGTAGAATATCTTGGATCCCCATCATCACCAAGTTGTCTTAAAAGCTCTTTAAGTTGCCCTTTAGGTCGGTTAGCTCATTTGACTAACCGATTGCGACTTCACTGGAAGGTTGGTTACTTGCCACTAGTTGGCTAGGTTGGGTTGGTGAAACAACCAAGATAGGTTGGCATGATAGGTCGGCATGATAGGTCTGGATTGGTGGAGTGGTATGTGCCATGATATGATAGGGTTGAATTTGTGGAACATGCAGAATCTGCTAAACTTGAGCTTGTGGCACAACCATGAGGGGCTACACCAATGAGTAGTACATACAACCTTGCAGTGTGGTCTGGACAAGCTAAGCCGAAGGGTGACAAGTCTAAACCGGTGGAATATCTAAGCCGGTTGAGCTAGTAGGGTTGGCTTGGACTACCAACATAGTCTAACTAAGATATGTTGGAGGTTTACAGATTGGAGCTTTTGGAGACTATCAGGTTGGGTTGGGCTAGAGGTTGATTTGATCAGTGGTGGTGGGGCCACTGGGATTGATTGGGCTCTCGGCTCATACTGCAGTGCTGCAAGCTGGATGTGTTTGGAAGCATTGAGCATGTGCATGTCGGATGGTCTAGGTAGGTCTAGGAAAGGGATGTGGTTGGAACTGACCGAGCTTGAGGCTAGTGGTGTGTTGTACCCAAGGATGGTGGTTACAGTTCATGATTGTGATAGGGATTGAGCTGCCTAAAGGGGGTGGCTCATGTGACTGAGTTGGTCACGACCCTGAAGAGGACCCGGACCATGTTGTTGGGCTAGGGCATAATGTGAGCCTGCCTCCCTAGCTTGCCAAAGCTTGAAGGTGAGCCTGGACTGAGGGAAGGCATTGAAGCTAGGAGAGGGTTATGTGGAACTCAACAGTAATGATCTGGTCTAGTTCCAACCCAACTTGGGAGTAGATTTCTAGCATTGTTTGATGATTTTGACCAGATTTGGGTTGGCTGATGGCTTCATATGGACTATGGATGGCTCACTAGGTCAATGTTGTTCCTAAGGCTCAAAAATGCAAGTTTTTGATAACTTTCAACTAAAATTTCAAAAAGGGTGTCTACATGCCTTAGCATTCAAACTAGGCAAGTTAAGGGTACGCCCAACCTATATCTTATCTTGAGGTAAGGGTAGGTGCCTTTGTGGCATGACCTAGAGTCTAAGGGTTCAAAGAAACCCAGTCTTGTTCCATACTCTGAGCCCCCATACATCAATTAGAGGGTATTCCATAGGAACATCCCAATTTTTGAGGATTAGAAGGACCTAAAGATCAAAGTGTGTCATCGGTTCACTAATTTTAGTTATTCGGATGTGCTAAGTCCTAAGAGGTCAGTAAGTATTCTCATTTTTATTTATTAGGCTTTTTTTTAGAGAAAATTGCATAAAACCCCCAAAATGGACTTCCTAAGCACTTTACCCCGTAGCTAACTTTTTCTAACAATTTTTTCCCCAAATCTATCTTTCCTGGCAAATAACCTCCCAACTCAAAAAGTTCATTTTTTTTGGATGAAAATACCACTCCCGTACATAACAAATCATTTTCGGATTCCAATAAAAAGAAATGCCGAACTGAGTCTTACAAACACCGCATCGCACCCTCCACTGACGTATTTGTCGGACTACCCCTTCATAACGCCAGTCAGGGCCAATTCCAGTGACTTCAATGCCGGACTCCTTCCAAACGCTGGACTGCACCATTTACAGTAACTTCAGTGCCGAACTGCCCTTTCCAAATGTTGGACCGGCGAGTTGCAATGACCTTAGTGCTGGACTGCCTCCTGGAACTTCTTGACTGGCCACTTGAAGTGCCAAACTGCCCCTTCGAAATGCCGGACCGGATCAATTCCAGTGACTTCAATGCCGGACTGCCCATTCCAAATGTTGGACTGTACCATTTACAGTGACTTCAGTGCCGGACTACCCCTTCCAAATGCCAGACCGGCGAGTTGCAGTGGCCTCAATGCCAGACTACCTCCTGGAACTGCCAGACTGACTGCTTGAAGTGTCGGGCCGATGTGGAGAGAGAGAGTTTGAGATAGGAAAACTTGGGTTCTCAAAGTAGAAAGATAAAAATATAAAAAAATGGGTTAGGGTTACGTGTGGGTAAGGGAGGGGTATTTTCGTTTACTTTTTTTTGCTTTTTTAGTTGGGGGTCATTTGCTAGAAAATATTGCTTTAGGGAAAAAATTGTTAGGAAAAGTTAGGTGCGGGGTAAAGTGCTTAGGAAGTCCATTTTGGGAGGTTTTATGTAATTTCCCCCTTTCTTTTTTTGTTTTTTATTGATTTATATTTTGTTTACAAGTTCTAATTGTAATAGTAGTCTTATTTTGACTTGGATTCCCATTTGGAGCAAGAGTTGTACTTAGATTAGAATTCCTAATTATTTTTGGATTCATATTGAAAGTTTGTATTTAGTATTATGAATATAGTTTCGTTTGGCAGTAAAAATCAATGATAATAGATATCAATAGGTTTACTTTCTATTTATATATTGTGTTGTGGCATTTGTAGCTAGAAATTCCAGTTACCAATATAAATTTATACCTTAGAATTCTATGTAGCCACACCTTTCACACTTATCACTGTTCAATAATTAGAAAAAATAGATTCGTACTATAATTTCCCGAAGGGAGATTTATAAAATTATATATAAAAAGATGAATACATTAATACTTTACCCATGTATTTTGATTTAATTTCAAAATACCCATAAAAATACATGGTATTGAGTTGGAATAGTTCTAAAGGGGTAAAATATTAAATAATTAATCCTTTTTTATGGGTATTTTGATAAAATTTATCTTTCCCAAAAATATAAATAAAGAATAAAAAATAAAAGAAAAAGTTTATATAAGGTGTCAACCCGAAGTAAGGTGCACCTCAAAATTCCTCTAGAAGAGAGTGTTCCAATGTTGGAAAACCCTTCAATTTGAGGATCATGACCTCAAGGATATGAAGGAAAAAAGAATTTCTAAGTTATAAACATAAGACATCTTGTAATAAATTATCTAGATAATCTATATTCAAGGATTTTGAAGTATTATAGATACGATCGATTTGCACCATTTTGAAATTTTAAATGTTATAACTAATATTAAAATTAGATTTTCAAGACATTATGAGATTTCAGACATGAGAACCACATTTTTAACAAAATTTAGGCGTATGATTTATTTTTATATTACAAGGAAAATTCCTTGTACAAACCTCACTAAATGTTAAAATAAGGCCAAGGTACTCTATAAAAGAAAATAGTAAAGCCTCACATGAAAACTCACCCAAAATTATAGTTCTAGCCCTAGAAAACCTTTTAATTAAAAAAAAAGTTTATATAAGGTTGCAACTTTAAAATGTAGAATTACAGATGCACCACAAAACTCCATCAGAAAAATGTTGTTTCAATGTTGAAAAAGCCTCTAATTGATCATCTCGACATCAAGATGTATGAATATGAAAAGAAAATAAAAAAAATAGTTCTAAAAATAGTGCATCTTGCAATATATTATCTAGACCGTCCATTTTCAATATTTTGAAATATTTATAGATCTACTTGATTTTAACCATTTTTGAAGTTTAATATTTTATAATTAGATATGAAAATAGATTTTGAGATAATCCTAATAATCTTTTCACTAAAATTACATGTTATGATAAAATTTGAAGGTGCACGTTAATTGGATTGTTTAAAGTTGCAACCTCATAGAAACCACACCCTTAATTAATAATTTAGATCTTGATTATTATTGTTGTGAAAAAATTAAGATTCGAAGCTAAAAAAATAATGTATATTGTATCACATTACCACAACTGCCAATTTTTAGGTGCTCATAGATCTGTACTATTTTTCAGGTAAAAATTTCATAATCATCGGTAAAACAGATTCGAAACCCTCGATAGGAAAATCATCAAGCTTTCTCCGTTCAGTACTCCACTTGATCACATCTAATGCACCAGTTTTAAGTTTTAGGTCAAAAACCAAAAGAACCGCAGAGAGACACACCCGTATTCTCCTTCCTTCGTCAGAGTGTTCCTCTCTCATGCGCACCAGACGAAACCCTCACCGAGCCCCAAACCCCCCAAACCCTGACCCACTCATGGAGGCCGATGCCAACGAGCCCAGCTCCCCCTGCGCCTCCCCCTTACCTGAAAGCGAGCCGCGCCCTATTACTCAGAGCCCCGTCACGCCCACCACCATTGTTCCTCGCAAGGGCGGCAAGAAGCGGAAGAAGCTCAACCGTGAAAAGATGGCAGCCGTCCAGAAGAAATTCGAAGTCCTTCGCGTCGTACTGCAACCCATCCCTTTTACCCGAAGCCAAACTATCGATGTTGAAAAGCACCAAAGCCTCTTCAAGCGTCTGGGCTTGTACGAGTTTGCCCTTTTGGAGCTTGATCAAACTATTGATTCTGAGATCTTGGCTCATTTTATTGCTGGTTATGACCCACCGAATCGTCTGAGTTTGGTTAAAGGTGTGCGTGTTAAGGTCAGCAGGCCTGAGCTCGCACGCGCGCTCAGCCTGCCTGTAAAATCTTTGAAGAACCCGTCGGATAACTCCGAGAGTACAGAGAAGGTGAGTGAAGAGGAGAGGGCCGTTCTTTCTGAGTTAATGTCCAATTGGATGTTTCTCCATGATGATGATACATGCATGATCATGCCTGATGAGATGACCAAGGCTGAGGGTTTTCTAAGAGAAGGTGAACCTGAGAAGATTAACTGGGCGAATTTGGTTTGGGCCATGGCTGAGAAGGAGCTCTTGGAATGGCCTAAGCTTGAAAAGTGTTTCTATGCATCACATTTTCAGCTTCTTATAAAATCACAAAAGCCTGATCTATTCAAAGAAGAAGGAGCACAAGAAGAAGAACTTGAAGCAGTGAAAGAAGGAGAAATAGAGGAGCAGGCTAAGGAAGAAGAGGGGGCGTTGCCGGAAAAACTGACCGATCATGCTGACGAAGAGCGCAAGGAAGTTGCTGAGCCGGTCAACGAGGAGAATCACGAGATGGATGGTGACGATCACAGTGAGTGGCCTATGGACACCCACGATGCACCAGGGGTGAGCATCAGGGATCAGTGTTTCAAGCCATGTGACCTGAATCGAGATCTAGGATTGAGCAAGCACAATGCAGGTAAAGAACTGGAGGATGAACCTGAAATTAGGGTTTCCCTAGGGCTTCAGTCTTGTAAGTTCTCAGATCTTGAGAGAATGGCTTCTGCTGAGCTAATGTCATCCATGGAGAACCAGATGACATTTGGTTTGCCGTCTCACATCATGAACTCAACTGCTGGTGTTGAAAATAATGGGAATTTACTCCATGATTCGATGCCATTTCCATGTAAGAGAGAGATGGATGATTCTCCTCCAATTGGTCACGGCGAATCCCATATGCCATTTCCATGTAAGAGAGAGAGGGACGATTCTCCTCGAATGGCTCATGGCGAACCCCATAAGAAGATGCGGATGGAAAGCCATTGGGATTCGATAACAATGGATTATAATGCGATGTTCGATCAAGCACAATGTTTTCTAGAGAGGTGCAGGATGTTGCATGCTGAAAAGGAAGAAGCTCATGCCAATACCCAAATGAGATTTGAGCACGAGCTTAGGCAAAGGGAATATGTCATTGAAAGCTTGACCAGAAACAAGATTGAGGAGCAACAAAACAAAGAAGCGGAGTTTCGTCAACTTAACTTTGAGCTCTACGTTGTTACTAATTTGGCAAGGGGATACAAGAAATCACTAGAAGATACCAGAAATGCATTTGCTGAGTATAGGAGAAAGTGTGCACAACCAGAGGAGCCAGTTTACAGAGATGCTGGAAAGGGTGGTGTTGTTCTTAGCACTGATGAGTTGCTGAAATTGCAATTGGAAAGGGAAAGAGAGAGAAGGGAAATTCTTAGCTCACTGAAAGATAAGGCAAACTCTTTTCTCCAAGAATGGGAGAGTAGATCCAAGTTGTTGCTTGATCTGCTTGATTCAAAAGATGATCGTTTGAGTCGTCTCGTTGGAGAAGTAAGGGATTTGAAAGATAAGCTTGTGAAGTCCTGTACAATGGAAGTTCAGTAACTGCTGTGGCAGTTGCTAGTGAAACTTCAGGCCATTTTTTTGTTTTAGTAAGTTCTCTTTTGGGTCAAGGTAACACACAATGTTCCACTTGTAAGTTGACTACTTTAATTGTTATAGAAGCTTATGTTTTATTGGCTTTGTATATATGTTTTTGTCTCCTACATAAAACTTGTAGTTTTTTTTCTCTTTTGGTTTAAGCAAAGATGTGGTTTGTTTATGGTTCTTTTAAATGCAATTTGGGATGATAGATTTGAAAATGGAAATTAATCTCTAAGTAGTTTGGTGAGACAACTGATTTTTTTACATGAATAGTTTCCTGTATTGCAATTGCTGGTGATTACTATATAGTTGTCAAGGCATTTAGTAGTAAAATCACCATTTTAACAATCAGGGTTGCTTAAGAAGTTTGATATGTATTATAAAAAATTTAAACTTTTAAAATCTGAATGATAATATGGTATTTTAGCTGGACAATTCTGGAAGTGCCTCACTATCATGTGGTGAACTTCTTGCCTGATGGTTTGAAATAACTGGAAAGAACTCTTACCCCTACTGGTTGGATTATTTCATGGTTGTGGCTTGTATAAGGCTGAGGCCCTAAACAATCAAAGTAAGGCGCACCTTCCAATAGTGTCGAAAGAACATCTTTCAGCACTGCAAATCTTTGGGATATCTTCAAAATTTATTTTCATCTTTAATTTATAAAATTTAAAGCTTTAAAAATAGTGTAGATCGAACAAATCTATGGACACTTGAAAATATTGAAAATTGACTGTCCAAAAAATGCATTACAAGATGCATTATTTCTAAGATTTGAAATCCATTTTTTTCTCATTTACTTACATCTTGAGGTTGAGATGATCGATTTGAGGATTTTTGGGCATCGAAACAACCTCTTCTAGTGAAATTTTCGAGGTGCGCCTTAGTTTGATTGTTTAGGGCCTCTTATATAAACTTTGCACAGGGCATGAACATGTCACGTGATACTCAAATGGAACATGCATGAATTTTGAAGCATTGCAGGTGCTTTGCATTAATCGGGTGCATAGTCAAGAATTGCTTTTTGGTTGGTTACATTTGTCATTTGATGACACTAGTCAAACAGTTAGGAACTTCAGCATGAGTTATTTGGGGTGTTATAGGAGACTTTCAACCTGAAGTTAACTTCATAAAAAAAAAAAATAGGAGACTTTCAACCTATGGCTATTGAAGTTGAAGTCATGATGCTCATTGCCCAGCTATTATAGGAAAGGAAAAGTATTTGCAATTTGTTTTCATGTTTGATTTCACTTGTATGAATGCCTAAATTACCTGGGTGCTGTTGTCCTGATCAATCCTAGTTATTTTGTTAAATCTGCTATGAATGAGAACTATTGAGGATGTTGGACTCTGGGATTAACTGCTCGAATGAGGAGTGTGCTGATTTTGGAAATTGGAAAATAGCATTTTGTTTTGTTTTATTTGTTTTATTTCAAGGCAGGAAACATATTTGTTGTTGTTGGCTTGCTTCTCTTTTCTTTCACGATTGTTGGACTCTTTCAAGTCCTTGTAGGAGAATATAATTTGAGATCATCTACTTTGTCTTTTCTTTTTCCCTTTGAAAGTTCAGAATACAAAGATTGCGCAGGTGAACACAAGCATCAAGTTTCACCAGACGGAGAGATACATTGTGGTTCACATAACAAGTTACCTTGACATGAGATGGACCAAAGTTTAAAGTAATCTCTTTGCGTTCTTGATCTGCTTAGTTAGGGAATTTGTTTTCAGTTTTCAAGTTTCAATGTGGTTACAATTGATACCGTTAGAAAGGGATGTTCATTGATCTCCACCATGATATTTGCGTTCCTCCATGTGCACGACATATCTTGGCAGGTGGCTTGCCTACTAAGTGGTGTTTTGCTCTATTTTGGAGGCCCTTGATGATTTGTTTAATATTTGAAGGAAATTTTTCGGAACATCTTAGTTTGAGTTGCTTGGAATTTTAGGGCTTACTGGCCATGTTTTGAACTCCCAAATTGAGGTATCTGTATTTTTATCCTTCACTGGTGCCCAAATAAGAAATCTGACTTGATCAAAGTATGCTTACATTGAATTTCATAAGCTGTGCATCTCATAATTAAATAGGCCCGTTGAGACTCGTTACTTGCTCAAGAGTGTATTTTGGGCACTTTTCTTCAGTTTATCATCATCAACATCATTTGAGCTTTATGCCTATTATTTGGAGTTGGCTAAATGAATCTTGTTCCTTCATTCCTCTCTATCAAGGGTCATATCATCAATCAAGCCATAAGTTAGCATATTTTTCCTTACTATTGTCATTCATGTCCTTTTGGACATTCCTCTTGTTTTTCTAGAGCCTTCTAATTAACCAAATCACCCATCCCAACTAGTGTTGTTCGAGGTCGATGCTCCGCGTGACCAGCCTACTCAAGTCTGCTTTCCCTTATCTTATCACCTGGAGCTACCCTTAAGTTCTTTTAGATATATTCATTTTGAATTTTATCATTTCTTGTCTTGCCTCTCATCCATCTCAACATCCTTATCTTAGCTTATATTCATTCTATGGGTTATGTTGTTTATTAAACGTCCAACATTCTACCATAAAGCATAGTTGGTCTTACAACTATCCTATAGAACTTCTCTTTTTAGTGTCATTGATATGCGATGATCACATAAGACTCTAGAAGCATATTTCCACTTTGTTCACCCCATCCTAATTCCATGTGCGGCATCTTCCTCAATCCTTCCATTCTTTATGACTTGTCGATCCAAGATATCAAAAATAATCTTCTTCAATTAATGATGATTCAAAATCCCATTGTTGACAATTGTTTTCAATTCAAAATGGTAAGAAGTATCCTATCATCCCCCAATGTTCACAATTGTTTTCAATACAAATAGGTTGGAAGTATCCTATCTATCACATTTTTTTGGTATAGCTGCTCATGAACTGGTATATATTTTTGAAAGTAGGCACACTTTTTAAATGTTCATGATGTATGATCCAGGCCTTTGACTAGGAATCCCATTGGGTAGTGCCCTTTGGGCTTCCTGTGGAGACAATTATGGTGAATCCTATGCACCTCTTATATTGGCTCCACAATATTGCAATGGTGTGTACAGCATGGTGGAACCGGTATTTGGACTCTAATGTGATTGCATTTGGTGCGCGAGTTTGAGGTGTTCCGTGGGGGCTACATTATATTGGGACAAATTTTTGAGGCTCATGATTGGTGAGTCTCGTTGCTTAATACCAGTTAAGGACTGACCGAATGGCCGTAAGTTTGGCATATATCTTCTTCAAAAGAGACACAGGGGCTCTTAGGCGTAGGGTTCTTGTAGTTGCACGCTTGTTAAAAATTGCTGTAGAGGATAAATTACCTTCTCCCAATTTATTTTTTTTGTTTTATTTGTTTCCATCTATCCTTCTCTATGGGTTTTATGATGATAGTTTTATTCAGTGTTTTAAAGCAAGCACTCCAGTCAGGACACACAATGGCCCTCAGCTACAGTCAAGGACCTGGACTCGGACTTGATAGCCAGCCGAGTCTTGGTAACTGGAGCAACTTTGAATCGGGTTCACTTAGTTTCTATACATTGGTTCAGACATGTTGAGTTTCTGAACTACTTGTCATTGGGAAAATGATAAATACCCTTAAAATCAACTTTCTTCACATCTAATCTCTCAATATTTTTTGTATTATACCCTAAATACCAATATTATTTTTTTTGTATTTACCCCCGATCAAAAGTCAATGAGTTTTGATACGAAATTGCTTTTTTTTTTTTTTTCTTTCTTCTCTTTTTATCTTTCTATACCTCTCTCCACCTATCCTCTCTCTCTACTTGTTTTTCTCTCTCTCCGCTTGTTTCTCTCTATCTCCCTACCCTTACTCTTTCTCTTTCTACTCTCCCTCACTCGCTCTCACCATTTTTTATACGGGGAGTGTGCCAGACCACATTATGGGAAGGGGATAAATTACTGGAATTTCTGCAGTCCAGGACACTCTTTGCTGAATAGAAATTTTGTTTTGTGGTTTGATTCTAAGAAAATGTTTGGTTCGGCATAGAGTATGTCGGATCACATAAAAAATAGAGAGAGAGCGAGGGAGGATAGAGAAAGAAACAAGTAGTGTGACAAAGAGAAAGGATGGGTGGAGAGAGGTAAAGAGAGAGAAAAAGAGAGATAGAAGAGGAAGGAAAGAAAAAGAGAGATAGAAGAGGAAGGAAAGAAAAACGGGCAATTTTGTCTTAAAACCTATTGACTTTTTGATAAAAACTGTCCCATTCACTTTTTGATAAAAACTGTTTGACTTTTTTATTTCCCATTATTATTCTAAATTTTTAGAGATTTATGAAAAACGTGATTTCGAGGAAGTGGATTTTATGAAAAACGTAATTTCCATGAAGTGGATACCACAAGTTCTATTGTCCTTTATGGAACTAGCGATGTGGATTTTATGAAAAACGTAATTTCCATGAAGTGGATACCTCAAGTTCTATGGTCTCTTATGGAACTAGCGATATCTACTTTCTAACCCTAAATATAAGGCACGTATCCTCTTTGGTGATTTATGAAAAAAACGATTTTCAAGAAGTGGATACCCCAAGTTCTATGATCTCTTATGGAACAAGCGATATCTACATTCTATCCTTAAATATAGGGCACGTATCCACTTTAATGATTTAGGAAAAACGTGATTTTTAGGAAGTGGATATCCCAAGTTCTATGGTCTCTTATGGAACTAGCCATATCTACTTTCTAGCTTTAAATATAAGGCACGTATCCTCTTTAGGGGAAAACTGTTTCTTTATCAAATAGGGAAGTTCTACAGTGCTGGAAGACATGGTTTCCGTAACCACATAAGGCATAATTGTTGGGCGCAGTGTTTTAAAAAACGCCGAGTCAAACCGGACTCGCCCGGT